TGCTTTTTAAAGAACAACTGATAAGTCCATCACAGGCATAATGGTGAGTAAAAGAAGACACTTTGGAAAACGATTCCATCTGTAAATCTAGCTCTCTCTCAAAAATACCCCAATCAACAGCGATCAGTTTATTCATAAAGGGCTCTACACAAATTCATTTCTTGTTTAAGGCATCACAATGTTTGAGGATGACCTGAGCAGCATTTAGATGCAAAGCAAAATTGGGACCAGAATTTCCATTGTTATGTGAGGTGGTCGTTAAGTTGAGCCTGATTGTACAACCTTTTTTGACATGGTTAAGTGAATCAGATCTAGCCCTGGATGTAGGCAAACGTAGGATGCCAATACGTAGGCAAATTGTTAAAGGAAATGCATCCTTTCTTAGGCTTACATGGTAGCTGCACAGACTGCAACAGACTTGCTTTGGATCTCGGAAATCTTACAAGGTACAACCATATACCATTACCCTGTTTTTCCCTCATTAATTCCTTCTTAACTGCTTGATTTCCCCATGCAGGAATTCAGTCTTTACATCAATTTGATCCATCTTTATTGCTGCTATTCTGAGCAGTTTCCCTATATTTGACAATTACCATGCAAACGACTGAGCCAACTAATAGAGGTATTTTCTCCTCCTGCACTGGTTTTGCAAGTTTTGAATGCAAGTCCATTTTATTGGCTCACAATTACAGAGATCCAAGTCTTGCAAGCAGTTAATTACAAAATTAATGCCTGCTTTCAGCTTTATTTCTAGTACATTTACTATAGTCTTCTGGCTTAATGTCGGATGCTTTGAAATAGAGTAATCCGCATTTTAGCACAATAAGCATGTTTTACCCTTCAGGTAGTCTTTCCTAACTCCACACTTGATGTACGTGCCAAATCTTCCACTACTTCTAAGGCACTTATTACACAGCTCTCTGGAAAGGTGCACTTTGAAAATGGTGGATCTTTTATCAGAAAGACCTGAGACAAGTTTCCAAATATCTTTGCTTTGATCTAAACCCCGCACAAGAATTTTATTTATTTATTTATTTATTTTGATTTGTCAATCGCTTACAAGATAATACGTATAAGTATATACATAGTTGTGAATACATGGATACATATAAGAAAAATAAACAATAGGACAGGGATGGTAGGCATCTTGGTGCGCTTATACATGCACCCTACAGACCTCTTAGGAAAGGGGTGAGGTCAATAGAAGACAGTCTAAGGTTAAGTTTTTGGGGTTTGGGGAAAAAAACCACAGTCAGGTAGAGTATTCCAGACATTGACCACTCTGTTGCAGAAGTCGTATTTCCTGCAATCAAGTTGGGTGCGGTTAACCTTGAGTTTGTATCTATTGTGTGCTCTTGTGTTGTTATGGTTGAAGCTGAAGTATTCATGGACAGGTAGGACATTGCAATGTATGATTTTATATACTATACTTAGATCAGATCGAAGACGGCGTAATTCAAGGTTTTCTGTGTCTAGAATTTCAAGTCTGGTGGCATAAGGTATTCTGCAACGAGTAGAGAAGTGGAGAACTCTTCTTGTGAAATATTTCTGGACTTTCTCAACTGTGCTAATATCAGATACGTAATGTGGGTTCCAGACCGATGAGCTATATTCGAGTATTGGTCTAGCAAATGTTTTGTATGCTCTAGTTAGTAGTGTGATATTACCAGAGAAAAAAAGAATTGTATTCCTCCTCCCCAGGCACTTCATTCCAGCTACTTTCTCATTTGTAGCTGCCAAGGTTCTTTGATCCTGCCCTCTTTCTGGGGGACTTTCTTTGTCCAGCACAAAAGCTACACCCTTGGAACCTTAGAATTATTTTCTTTTTCAAAAAGCAAAGGGAAAATGTTGGTTTTCTCTGTGAGTTGAAAATCTGCAGTTTTCATTTCTGCTTCCTTTCAACTACTCAGGATGTTTACTCTTTCAAAACATCTTTACACATTTAATTCACAGGGCACATAGCCCTGTTGGTGTGTGTGAGAGAGAGAAATGGGGGAGGGAGGGAGGGAGGGAGGGAGGGAGAGAGAGAAAGAATTCCTTTGATTGAGACTCTGGACTGAGCAAGGATTAGTGAAGCATGTTTATAACTTCAGTAGAAATGATTGTTTAAAAAATGCATGAAGAAAACCAGACCAGCACCTAGCTGACTGAATCCTATCAGGAGGAGAATCAGCAGTCACAGGCTCTGTGCCGGCATATTTTGGGATAAAGGAGAGGAAGAAGATCCTGAGATTAGCAAACTCCTAGATAAAGAGCCAGTTTGTTGTAGTGCTTTCAGCATCAGGTTAGATGCCAAGGGACTATAGGTTCAAGTCCCATCTTAGGCACAAAGCCAGCTGGCGTGACTTCAGCCAGTTATTTTCACTTGACCCTAGGAAGAAGCAGGCAAACCACTTCCAAAAAATCTTGCCAAGAATTCTGCAAGATTTAATTCAGGCAGCAAAAAATTGACTTGAAGACAGACAGACAGACAGACAGACAGACAGACATACTGAGTCAAAGAGGAGGAAACAGAGTAAATCAATAAAGGAGAATATTTGTAGCTCAGGGTTAAAATGATGGGTTCTTGGTGCTCTCTCAGTTTGCTTGTTACCTAGCTACCTAGCTTGCCCTAACTAGGTAACATCATCGATGCTAGCACTCATGATGTTACCTAGTTAGGATAATGAAATGTTTTCTAGAAAACAAGGAAGCTCAGAGAGCATCAAGGAACCCACATAACTTAGCTACTGTATCTACAACACACTAACCCTAAAAGTTGGGAGGTTGAGAGGTGCTGAAGGCTCAGTGCTGTTAAATCAACACTTCCAATGTATCTCCATTCTTTCTTCCATAGTTTAAGTACTGTGTGTGCCAATTGGTGAAGAAAGATTGAAATCTCACTCCCCCACCGCTACTGCAAGAGTCTCTATAGCATTCTCTCCGAACCCACTTCCCTTGAGTTTCAAGAGAACAATCTTCCCTGCTGCAGATGGAAACCTTCCTTGCAATGCAAATAATACTTCTATGCGGTGGGTAAAATAGAAAAAAAAATGAAAGAAACTGCTTTCCCTGAATTGGCTGTTTACATAACTGGAAATGTGCACTTGAACTATCTACACACACCTATCTAGTTTTGGCCCACAGAGGCTCAGCAGGTGTAATCTAAGGCTCATCATATATATTTTAACTCTTTGCGTTGGATATTTAATGATTAAGCAATTACCAGGAAATTGCAATTTTATGGTAGAGCACTAAGCAGGCAAAATGAGATTTTAGCAGCTTCTGAAATCCACACGCTCCAAAATTATAAGTGCCGCTTTATAACTGGAACTAAGAGGCTCCAGGGCTACCATATTAATTTGGAAGAATCTCATGAAATCAGTAATGGACTCATCTGAAATCATTCACTCACATATACCCCTTCGGTTTTCTTCTTAATCAGAAGAGCACTGAAGCACAAGAACGGATTAATTTCTCTTCTTAAAAAAGCAGGACCAAATAGTCTAGGTAGGCTTACATTCCATCCAGGCAATGCCCCCTGCACCTCCAGTCTTTGATATTTGAAAGGTTCCTTAATTGCTCTTTGATTCAGAGTTTTCTCTTAATACGATTAGATAAATATATGGCTGGTTTTACTCACAAAATTCAAATATACATTACATCAATTATGAAAAGATATCCATGGAACTTTTAACAGAATTTAATCTACTAGATATGCAACTTTGATTGTTCACTAAAGAATGTGCAGTACTTTGTTTCAGCACTTTGTACTGGACTGGTCTATTTATCTCCAGGGCAAAGTTCTGGGGAAGGAATTCCATCCACCTGAAGCACTGCAATCTGTTCCTTGTTTCTTATCTAGGAGTTATGTGAATTATCTCCACTGCACTCCTGCTTGTCAGCTGATAAGGCAAAAGAATTGGAAATGATCCACAAATCGCTTATAAAAGTGAGCATGAAAATCCATCAGGAAAGAAAGTGTTAAATTATTCCACCTTCTCTTCTGAAACTCTCAGCTGCTAGACATGGATCTGCTCTTGCAACTATAATGCACCTATAGCAGGGGTGTCAAACTCAGGGCCCATGGGCCAGATCCGGCCCATGTGGTGTTTAGATCTGACCCCTGGGGCTGCCCTGGAAACAGCAAAGGAACAGCCCGCAGTGCCTCCGCGAGTGAAAATGGGCTCCCGACCTCTTTTTTCAGCTGGGATGGCCTCCTGCAACCCGCTGCCAGCAAAAAATGGAGCTCAGGCGGGGTGCCTGAGCTCTGTTTTTGCTGGCAGAGGGTTGCAGGAGGCCATCCCAGCTGAAAAAGAAGATTGGGAGCCCATTTTCACTGGCGGAGGCACTGAGGGCCACCACAGGCATCCCTGACATGAATGACTTCAAGCTGGACGTGCCCTCCTGCCCGCCCCCTCAGGTCAAACACAACAAAATTGAGTTTGATACCCCTGATCTGTAGCATGAACATTGTAATGATACTGGGTAAAAAAATAACCCTTCCTCATGGATAGTTACCAGATATTACATTGGGAAAATAAAGTTTCACTATATTAATATTATGTTTTATTTCTCTTGTGTTACTTCTAACAGAAGATATTTCATAATTTACTTTTTACTCCTGCAACATGCAATTATTTAGAAAAGTCCCAAAATCATTCTGAGAAAACAAAGAACATTTGTTTTTTAATATGCTATGGTTTCCCCAAGCCCCTGCAACTTTAGCATTACCTGCCTCCTACTTCAAGCATTAACTTCCCAGTAAGATGAAGTATCATATTGAACAGAGCCAAGATATATACTAGAGAAAACAGGCAATTTGTATCTTGTATCAGAGGAGTACAAAGCAAGGTCCCGAGGTTCACGAACACCAAGTGAATTAAATCAGAGTTTCTCAACCTCAGCAACTTTTAAGATATGGGGATTCTTCTCAGAATTCTGGGAATATATAGTCCACATATCTTAAAGTGGACAAGGTTGAGAATCGCTGAGTCTGATAATGAATTGCCCTAACTTACAAGGGAGAAGCAGATCTTCCTGTTCATAAAGTATCACAACAAATTTGACAACAGGAATACTTTCTCTGCTGTCAAAATCATAAATGCAGGACAATTCTTTAATCTCAACCTCCGCTCGCAATTGATGAGTATTCTTCAAGAGATTCCTCACTTTACTTCTGGTTTCTTGAAGCATCCTCACATAAACCCCCATCTTTTTTTGAGGGGCTGCCACAAAAAAGAGGGCATCAACCAGTTTACCAAAGCACCAGAAGGCAAGGCAAGAATAAATGGTTAGAAACTAACAAAGGAAAGCAGTAATCTAGATCTAAGGAGAATTTTCCTGACAACGAGAACAACAGAATGGCTTGCCTTCAGAACTTGTGGACAGTCCATCTCTGATGGCTTTTAAAGGAGTCTGGGTAGACATTTGTCTGAAATGGTATAGAGCCATGATGGCCTACCTATGGTACACGTGCCACAGGTGCATTGCAGAGCCATTTGTGTGGGCATGTGAGCCCCTGCCAAACTCACCTGCACTGCACATGCGTGCGCCTCCCAGCTGATTTTTGGCCCGTTTGAGGCCATTTTCGCCCTCCCGGAGGCTCGAGGAAAGCCTCTGCAGCCTCAGGATACTGAAAAATGGGCCTTCCAGAAATATTGGAAGTGCCGAAACGGGCTTGTTTTCAATCTCCCGAGACTTCAGAGGTTTCTCTCGAGCCTCTGGTAGGGCAAAAACGGCCTTCCCTGAGCTCCAGAGACCCTCCAGAGGCTGAAAATGGGCACTTCCGGTATTTCTGGAAGTGAGTCTCCTGCTTGAACAAGGGATTGGAAGACCTACAACTGTTGATCTGTTATTTTTTCCCATCTTCCCTATCCTCTCATTTACTTCAGAATGGAATGTTAAATGTCGAGATTTTTTCTTTTTTTGCTCAGCAAGGACTGGAACTTGAATTCAGCCAGTTGTGGGATAAACATTTATTCCCTTTGGGTCTGAGATGTGCTCAAAGCATCATTAGTCAAGTTTTTTTGAGGAATTATCTTTTTCCTGTCCCTCTTCTCCTACCCTGTCCCTTCTCCTTCTTATTTTCTCTTGTTGAACACTAAGGTTTTCCCTCCAGGAACATAATTTATGCTGAAGATCAATGTTGACTTAGACACATTCCCCTTTTTCCACGATGACTTAGCTCTTAGTTTGATTCTCCATTCTCAAAATAGAGGAATTATTTTTCTATAAAAGTCACTACATGTGTAGACTGTTAACCCTTAATAATAAACCCAATTTTCCATGCTTTTATTATTTTTAGCATGTCAGATATCCATGGAAGACTTTCAAAGATTAATCATTAGACGAAGCTATATTTTATACTTATGTTGAAACTAATTAAAAAAATCAGTTATTTGTGTGGAATTGAATCTGGGATTGCTGTCTGCACTTGGGAAAAGTAGCTGCAGCCAGGCAAAAATACCTCCCATTCCACTTCTCCAAGGCTCAGCACACTCATGCTTTTTCAAAAGAGCTCCATAAACCTGAGAGATGGATTAATTAATTAATTCTTTCATAAATTACACGCCTTTAGGCTAGAGTTCCAACTGCCTGGCTAATTGAGCCATCTCCCTATGTTTCAAAGGACATACTACCGCCCAGAGACAGCCATATCTTACCAGGCTTGCAAACGCAAACACTAAGATAGTGTGTGGGGGCTGTAGGTGAACAGGAGATAAGAACATAGCAAGCAGTTGGAGAAGCAGGAGGCAATATTTAGACAATGACAACTATTGAAGGCAGGCAACAGTGTTATCAGCCAGTTAACTTGGGGTTTCCAATTTTTGTATTTAAAAGTATATTATTTGTAAGGATGCTTTACGAATGTATGCTTATACTAAGAAATTACAAAGTTAAAACACAATTCTTTTAATAACAAATACATAATAGGGCTTGAAATTTATTTATGAGAGCTACAGCGCTCACATAGCACATCTGTTTTTAATTAAAACTACATTAATTTTGATTGACTTCTTGAAGCCGAGGTATTTTTCAGGCTCTTGTGGAACTCTGAAAATGAAGTCTCTCTGACAATTAGCAGCATTGATGTACTTGTGCAAGGTCTGAAGCACATCTAAGTAATGTCGAGATTGTGCAATCAGACAAATCTTTAGGTCACTTAGACTCCAATCTATCATAAAACTCTCCGCTTTTCCCTTAGAATACTTCAACATTTGATGTCATTTGGATAGAACAACTGAGTATGTCTAATCCTATAAAATTTACACAGAATAGATATTCCCATACAGCTAGAGACCAAACTCTACATGTGAGTTAATTTCCTTTGTGACCTAGTCTTTTCACCTGGAAAATAATCCCAAAATATAGATTGCAGAACTGGTCCACAAGAGTCCACAAGTGGCAGCAACAATTTTCAATATCTGCAATCTCCTTGGAAACCTAGAAATTCCTGGTTTTCTTCTGCTTGAGAGTCTGATGACAAGAAAAAAATTGACCATGCTATAAAGTCCAGGGAACCACTGTAAATTGAACTGGTAAATTAATCTTAAAAGATTTATATTTTATATTTATTTCTTTTAGAAAGCAACTCATTTTTGACATGCATTTTTAAAAATAAATTGGAAATTGAAACTGAGTGTCCCCCCACACCCCAACCTAGGAAACAGTCTAACATGTGTACCAGATTACTCAGCTAATACAAAGGTATGATTCTTACAGATTAACAGAAATTCCTTAAGAGGTCTACTCTTCCATTTGGATGTAATTGTAAGCTTCGAGCAAGGATATCGAACTTAATTTCATTGAGGGATGTATCAGGGTTGTGTTTGACCTTGGGGGCCAGGGGGAGTGGCCAGTTTGACATCTGGGGGTGTTGGGGGCGGCTGCAAATGGTCTGAGTGCTCTGCCAGCGAAAACAGGCTCCCGAGCTGTTTTTGGCTGTGACGGCCTCCTGCAACCCTCTGCCAGTGAAAATGGAGCTTGGGAAGACCATGGGCTACCCTCCCAAGCTCTGTTTTTGATGGCAGAGGCACTGTGGGCCTGTCCTTTGCTGTTTCCAGGGCAGCCCTGCGGGCCAGATCTAAGCACCCCGCAGGTCAGATCCGGTCCCCGGGCCTTGAGTTTGATACCCCTGGTTTAGAGTATGTGTTCATATGAAAACTGTTACATATTATTTAGATAAACTGCAGCATACTTTGCAGTGAAATACAAAGCAAAAGAGGGATTGGCAGGAAGCAAGTGAATTGAAAATAGATAAAAGGATGTTTTAATTTTGTGCATCAACATAACATGAAAAAAATAAAACACAATTCTGTTCTTTAAAAAATATGACTTCCTACTTAGGTTTATTTTTTTCCTTTAATACAGATCAGCATTTCAAAGTTTTGCATTCTACACACTGTTCTCAATTATTAGCATCAAAATACAAGACAGAGCAAGACCTTCAAATACAAATAAATACCAAATAACAATACAACAAACTGAAGGACAACATAGAATAATGCTATTGGGAAATTAGGATATGTTGCTAATAATTATTAACAACATTGTATTGCTGAGCAATAAATTATACACTTCGAAATTTCCTTTCCTTTAAAAAGAAAATACAAAAATCGTTGATTACCAGATTCACTTACTTGCACTGTATCCTTTATAGCTATCTATAATTAAAACAGGCAGAATATACACAATCAAATGAGGTTGGCCTTCTTTGGTCTTTGTTTCTGGATCAGAAAACTGAACACAACCAATGTACCTTTTACCAAAGAATAAAATATTAAATAAAACACCACACAAGTTTACACAGACTGATTTTGTACAGAGTTCATAGTACTGATGCATTTAACAGGTATTTCTTCTTGGAAAAGGATGACCATTTTTTCCATCACATTGAATTAATGGCATTTTATGGATGTTAAAAGGTTATCCTACTTGTCTTAAATAAGAGATTTATAGTCCACCATTTCAAGATGGGGTGTCCCACTACATCCTCATTTATCTTGTACTTCTGGAGGTTTTGGATCACAGTGAAAAAAACTATTTTCTCATACAAACTGTAGAAGATGTACATTTTAGAGAGCTAGAGAGAAAATAATACAATACAAGCCGATTCAGTGCCTTGGCAATTCAATTATTTTCCCCATTTTCCAAGTGCACAAGGACTAACTCTCTGCCAGGAGAAGAAGTCTGGATTGGAAAATATTATGTTCACATGCAATAGCTCTGCTAAAGTTCAGAATCGTCTGAGCATGGAATGAGTTGTTTAAAAACAGTGGTTTATTTCAAACCCCAGTTTACCAAGCTGTTCACGATCAGAACTCCCTTTAGTCAGAAACTAGTCTTTCTAGAAGTGGCAACAGCAAATTGTAAGAAAAGAAGCAATCTTTCCATCCAACATCTGATAAAAATGGCAAGGGTAAGAGAACAGGATCAAAGTGTAATTTCAAATGTTATTATGGGATTCTAGATCTGGGATTCTAATGTAATGCTTATAAAATCTAGAGTGCTTGCATGCTTCCACTAAGGAATCACTTATTGTAAAAGTATTATAGATACACACTGCCCAATCTTAAACTTTAATGCATCTGACACACTGGTGCTTGAAATGAGGTATACCCATATCACAATACACTTAGCATCATACTAGAACCACAAGCAAATGTTTAGGATTAGGCTTAAAACTTTCATGAAATGGAAGACGAAAAGCTACATGGTCTTGCCAATTTGCTAGAAGATAATTAAAGATTTAATCAATCCTTTTTGTGGCCTAATGCTTCTTCAAAACCATACAGGATAACCGTATTATGCAGCCATTAACAATGCTTCAACTTTCCTCCATTTTGCATTAGTCTCAACAAGATCAATTTCAGCATATTTTTTTACATTCAAAGGATGGCTCTTAATGAATGATTATCTCACTGTAAATTTTTCTTATATGAGATTATTGATTCACCTCTATGAAGGACTTCTAATGGGGAAATGATACAATTCCCTCCATTGAGGAGAGGCCACACAATCTACACCAATAAGGTGAGTTGTGTTGTGTCTCAGCTTTAACTGGCATTTGCACAATAATCACTGGAGGTCCCACAAGGAAGGAAAAGTGAAGTGAGTGATTCAATTTGTCATTAGAAATGAGGAAGGTTCATCCTTTTATGAAGGAGCTTTTTTTCAAGTCTGTTGAAAAAAAAGACCTACTTTGAAATTTGCATAGCCCTATTCTATATGGAGAAATATGAGCTATTTATTTATTTTTTTTCAATCCACACAATAAGTAGTGAATCTCATATTCACATTCTTTAGGAGCCATGCATGGATGCAAGACATTTATGCTGGAAGTGATCCTTATATTAAAAAGCAGGAAGTAGTAGTTAAGCCCTCAATGTATTTTCTTTAAAATACTTAATTATAATATTCACAGTGCAGAAGTTGATAGAACAGAATTAAGTCATGCGCTTAAAATATTTTTAAGTTCACCTTGTCCAATAAAGCCCTTAAAACTGAAATCTTTTTTTAAAAAAAGCTCTACCAGTTTTTATGAA